GGATGTGATGAAAATATAAAGCTTGTTAAACTCAATATTAGACTTACCTGTATTCTTATAAGAAAAATAGAACTCGAATAACGCGATTAATAACGCTTTACATGCACCGTTACAACAGGTCATCTGATTAGGTAGCCATATTGAAAAAAGGGTCTAGTAACGAAATATGCTTCAAAGTATGTATTGCTATCTTTCTCTCGCATGGTGAACGTAACTAAATATTATTTTTTTCTAATATGTTCATTAACTGGTAACGCTCATTCATTGGTTCCATTATCCTAAGTCCATTTTCTTAGAGTTGGCCCAAAATGTAAATAAATATGGTTCATTCAAAAAGTCTGTTACGTCTCGAAAAATGGATCTTTACAGGAAACTCAAGCAGTTGCTAAAAAGTCTGAGATATCAACTAGGCATATTGAGAAAAATGTAGGAGTAACCAAATCTACAGCCCAATTTATTTTGCGTAAAAGATATCACCCGTATAAATTCAGGATTTGCCAAAGACTTAGACCAGGGGATAGCGAACGGCGCGGCGCCAGCATTTTTGTGAGCGATATCCATTAAGCTATCAAGAAGATTTTAATTTCCCTTTAAAAATAACATTGTCCGACGAGAGTATGATCACTAATAATGGTATCTTTAATCGCCGCAGCATTCACTACAGGGCTCAAGAAAATCTGCGGGCTAAAACAGTATCCGGACTTCAAAATCGTTTTGGCTTTAATATGTGGCGTGGAATTCTAGGGACCAAAAATTGGCTCCATTTCTTTACCTTAACTCATTAGCCACAAAACTGTACATTCAATTGTTGCAACATGATACAGAAGTCTTCATGGATAATTTACCTTTGGCACATAACTCTAGGCAACTTCGAAAGTATCTTTCTCAGTAATTTTCCGGAAGGTAGATTCGAACCTCCAGTGTCCTGGCCAGCGCGTTCCCTGGACTTAACTCCTCTGAACTTTTTTGTTTGGGGTTTTATTAAAGACCCAGTTTATCAGATTACTTTTGAGAATGTGCTATAGAAGCGTGACTCTACTAGAAATGTTACGTCATGTTTGGAATTCTACTGTTACAAAATCATATTTATGTATGTTTAGAAAATAATGGCAACCTATTTGAACATCTGTTGTGAATAAAATAAAAACAATGTTAATAGTGTATTCGTTATTCTAAATATCACTAGATTAAGCATCATTTTATAAAATTATGCATCTGTCAGTAATGGCATAATCTTACATCAAGCATTTCTTTGCAACGCCTACTTAAAAAATATAAGAAAAATGAAAAAAAAACACATTTTTTTATTAGAACACTAATGTAACATGTGATACATCGTTGAGTTTGTTAGAAAAACGTGCTATCAGATACAGGGTGTACTTTTCACAGACCACATAAAAATAAAGTTTTAAAAACACCATCATACGTAGTAGTACCAATAAAAAAGTTTCATAAGTTTTTTGATATATCTTAAAATAATATCAGAAAAAGTAAACGTTTTGGCCAAGTTTTAGTTTTTCCCATAATGAGATCCTCATGCATAGGGATTGGACACCCTGTATAACAGACTTGACATTTTTTTCGTACGGAAAGGAGTTTTGAAAATAAACACTTTCTACATACTCGTACTATCTCTGACAGTATAATAAGCAATTAGATTTTTTCAGCACGCACCACTCTTATAGGAATAGTGACTATGCTTTCATTGCAACAATTCGATTTAAAGCGTTGCAAAGAATCCCGAAGTGCTCGAATGTGGGTATTTACATTATTCAGCGAGACCGAAAATACGATCCCTTTATAAGCTAAGCGCATAGCGTATGATTTAGATAAGTTAATTACATCACAAATAACCCAAAAGAATTGTTATTGTAATTCATATCAACCTTTGCTTTCCTGCCCCTTTATAGCCTTCGGACGGAGTCGATGAAATATCCCTAAGGGGGTATTATACCACAAGACGTTGCGATACCGTTTTTCACCATTTCGTCAGAGCTAAAAGTTTAAACTGACTTGTGCTAAACTTCAGTGCCCCATCGTTCAGAAAGTATCAACTATTATTGGAAGGGTGGGTATAAGTTTGTCTCGATTTATTTATTTCAGTCTTTAATGTAAAATGACCACGTCCTAGGGAATGCGTTTTTGGCGGAATTCCCTTGATCCATCCAGCTTTGAATGAACATGTTTTCCTTTTCCAAGTTTGTTTTTTAACGTCAATTAATGAAGCCCATTAAATAAGCAGATGACTGTTTACACTCTGGAAATAATTACTACAACTACTTGTCATTTACGCATGTGTGACTTGACTAAAAAGCAAGCCGCATTTGCTAGGTTATTGTGGGTCGAATGATGATTTTGTATATCTGGATTTCATTGACTTAGCTTTTTTGAAATTCTACATAAAAGAGGATATGTAATTTCGAATTTAGTTTTCAGTTGTTCGGTGTGTCCCTTCCAAATGATACCGTCGTCTTATCCAGAATAATCGCTGACGGGACACCGTAAGATAGCCTGCGTCTTTGAAAAATTAATTTTTCTTAGCCGCAGATTCACCCACTGTATGACCTCGTCGACAGCTTTCTGCACAGGCGCGGATCCAGGGGGGGTCATGACCCCCCCCCCAGGCGAATTTAGTTCGACCACCAATTTTTAAAGTTCCAAATCTCTTAGGTCCGTATCGTCAGTCGTCCCTACAATTGTAGGGCGCGTTTATGGCCTCCTTGATTGTCATACTCCTTTCTCTCCTTCAAAAATTTCTAGATTACACTTGTCCCGTGTCATCGTCATCGCTCTCCTATTGTGAAGATATGTTTTCTTTTTGAATTGTAGGAAATTTCAGGCTGATAAAACATGATATAACTCAAAAGCAAGCACATTTGATGCAAATAGAGGTTTGTGACATAACCTCAAAATAGAGTTCTGACACGGAGAAGTAGAAAACTATGACAATCAAGGAGGCCATAAAGGCGCCCTACAATTGTAGGGACGACTGACGATACGGGCCTTAGATAAATCTGTAATGCACACATATTAAATAGATGCCGTACTGGTATTTTCTACTAAACACTGGCAGCACTGCATCCGTCAATTTTGATTTAACCATAAGCTCATATAGGATAGGTTGATGTAGGAAAAACTTCTTCGCGCGCGCGCTTAAGCTGTGAGCAAATTTAATAAAAAATACTTTTTGACGGACCAGTGGCGGATTTAAGCAAATGGACCCGGTCGGCAATATGCACTGGGGGGGGCCAGTGGTATGATCGGGGACAGACGGCAAATAGTGCGCACTATAACTGTTTTGCGAATAACATAAATTACTGCAATTGTTGACAAATAAAATACGACATTGGAAACTTTGACAGTTGCATGATAACTCAGAAATTAATATCAAAATTTAATGTTAGTGCAAACGTACATCAGCCTGGTTTTTGCATTTAATAGTGCGCACGGGCACGGGGCAGGTTGTAATGCGCATTGTATTTTTTTGAAGTATGTTAAACTTGATGATTCACCAACAAACATATTGTGCATAATAGAGTTTAAAAGTTATCATGGATGCTACCGATAAGTAAAGGGCGTCAAGTCAAATTTGGAGTGCGCGCTATTTATAGGATTTGCATAAAATTATAAGTAAGAAAATAAAAACAAATATGATCGATAGTTGTTGTCATGTTTGCCGTGATTAATATTTCATTGAATACAAACTTGGTGAACAACACTAAAATACGTTAAACAACGTGCATTACTACAGGATATATACTGGGCACTATTTGCGAAAGTGATATTCTCCACATTTATCGCTATTTGCAAATTAATGACGGCAAGTGAGAATAAAAAAATTAGAAAGACCTGCTCAAGTAACCGAAACAAGCTCATGGATAGTGCAAAAAAAATTTTAATAGTAATTTGATGCAATAAGTTAATCTGATGCTGCTTCAACGTGCCAATAAAACAGCTAATTCAACTGTTTCAATATTCACGCGGATCTAAAATGTTACCTCTGTTTTTATACTATATGTCTATATAACTTGAATCAAGTAGAGACTGTGAGGTCAAACATTTTTTATTCAATACAAAATAACAGAATTATTCTAATTTGAATCCGCGTTATGCTTTTCGTTCAGCAAAAACTTCCATCGCAGAATCCAAATTGAGTGTATTAGCCACTGATTTTTCGATATAGAGGATATAGAAGTTGTTGAGTGTGTCTTAAGCCAAAAGAGCTCGACGGTATTTTTTAATAATTTTCACGACACATGACACATTCTTTCTTAAGAAATGAAAGGGAAATTTTTATACTCAAACTGAATTCTAACGCGCTGTTCCATAAACATTTCGCAGATGGTCATTAAAAGAATATAACAACACTCTGATTTCTTGTTATTAATTTTACATTCAGACGTGCTGAACAATATAGACACTAGAGCTGATTTTTGCGCTGTGACCACCCTTCCTTGGGGGGCCCAGGTGGTAATTTTGCCATTACTTAAATCCGTCACTGTGACGGACAAAAACAAAAAAAACTTGTTGCACTGGATTCAAAGGAGATGGTAAGTATTAATATTAATCGATTTGCAGGAAGCCAAAAAAGAAGAATTAATTTTCTTATTTAACAATAAATTGTTCCCCTAAGGGTACAAGGGTTGGGTTGTCATCGCCATCCATCTTACTGCCAAGTTTTTAATTTTTATGTCAGAGGCACTGATGTCACATGAACATGAAGTTTTTTGACCAGTGTGACCCCCTCCCTCCCAAAGACAAATCCTGGATCCGCTGTTGTTTCTGCAGCCTAACATTGACTACGTCACTTGAACATGAATAGGCTGCTGATGCATAGAGGCAGAGTTCACTGTCGCTGCGTTGAGAGATGTCGTGAATGAAAATCGAATATAAGAGCGACCCTAAGATCATACGGTACACCGGCACGAATGCGCCTTGTTATACAAAAGACATTTACCATTTTGATTATAAATTCTGTCCTTACTATCCAATTTACTCACCTGTGGACAATCCCTGATATAGTGCCCCTTCTGGAAGCAGAGATGACACAAATAGGAGGGAGGTGGTACTATCAGCGGCCTCCTGTCCAAAGTCAGGTCAGCAAACTGTTCAACGATGTCTGCCAAAGGGTCGCACAGGGTCGGACTTAACTGGTTGTAGATGTTGTACGAATACTGGGTTGTTGGAAACGGAGGTGACCATGGAGAATTTAGCAGTTTCGGCTGTGGAGAAGATAAGGGGTTATGCTGTGATGAAATCGTAAGAACCCAATAGCTATCTACTCTAGGTGAGTTCGGCGTTTTGGATTTTCTGAAAGTGCGGAGATTCTATGGTTTTATGAAACGAGGCTATCAGTCTGAAAAGTGGTAAAAATATATTAAAAATTTAAAGCCTGCTATTTCACGGTATCAGTTATAAAGCTGCTAGAATCACTAAGGCCAGTATCGTCAGTCGTCCCTACAATTGTAGGGCGCCTTTACGGCCTCCTTGATTGTCATAGTTTTCTACTTCTCCGTGTCAGAACTCTATTTTGAGGTTATGTCACAAACATCTATTTGCATCAAATTGTGCTTGCTTTTGAGTTATATCATGTTTTATCAGCCTGAAATTTCCTACAATTTAAAAAGAAAACATATCCTCACAATAGGAGAGCGCTGACGCTAACACGGGACACGTATAATCTAGAAATTTTTGAAGGAGAGAAAACAGTATGACAATCAAGGAGGCCATAAACGCGCCCTACAATTGTAGGGACGACTGACGATACGGTCCTAAGAGACCAGCTCCCTAGTGGACAGATAACTTAAAATTGATGAAACAGCTTAAGAAAAAAGCTTTTTTAAGGTATACGAGTTATAAGACTCAGGAGACGCTGCAATATTATAAGAATTTAAGAAATTTGCTCAACTTCTCAATACAGTCTGAAAAGAAAGCATTTTTACAGTCAAAATCAAAATTATCTTCTAAGGAATTTTGGAAAGCTATGGACTATCGCAATATTCGAAACAGTCCCTCTGACATTAATGGTCTGCAGTACGACCCAGATGAACTTAACAACTTGTTCATTGATGGCGCTCCTTCCAGTGGTATCTCATCTGGCGTTGATGCAAGCCAATATGTATCTGATCGTAATATTAACAATAAATTTTCATTCCGTTTTGGAGTACTGAAGATATTGAGCGCGTATTAATGTTAATAGATTTTAATTCATCGGGTACTGACAAGATTGACCTCAAGATGATTCAACTAGTTTTTCCTTATCTAAGTAACATAATTACTTATATTGTCCATTTTTGCCTTGCTAACAACACCCAAAGATTGGTAATCCACAAGAATTTTCTCATTTTCGCCCTACAAGTATTCTACCTACCTTTTCGAAAATATTGGAAAAAATCGTAGCTTTCCAACTAAAAACATTTATTACATATAATAATACACTTCCTACCAGACAATCGGGCTTTCGCTCTGGCCATAGTACTACAACCGCACTTGCAACCGTTAGAGATGACTTATTCAGAGCATGTGACAATAAGATTTATAGTTGCTTGATGTTGCTCGATTTCAGTAAAGCTTTTGATACAATAGATCATTCAATCTTATGTTCGAAACTTAAATCTCTGGGACTAAGCAATATGGCTGTAGATTTCTTTAATAGCTACATGTCAGGCAGATCCCAGTGCACAGAATTTAATGGGCACATATCTCAGTTTCGTAGTATTACCAGAGGTGTGCCACAGGGTAGTATTTTAGCACCTTTGTTGTTTTCACTGTATACGTCAGATTTGAAAAGTCAGTTGGAATTTTGCAGTACAAATCAATATGCAGACGATACACAATTATATTACTCTTTTAAACTTGATGATGCTTATGTTGCCTGCATGCGTATCAATTCTAATCTTGAGTATTTATCTAGATATGCTTCGTATTAAATGAAAATAAAACTGAATTGCTTATTTTTGGATCAATACCGTGTGAGGTTACTGACAACCAGAATTTTAGAATCTGTATTGATAACACTGTATTACAAGCAAGCAACCAATGTAAAAACCTGGGACTATATATGGATAATACTCTTAAATTTGTTCTCCACGTTAAGCATCTCTTACAAAAAGCTTATGCTAAATTAAGGACTTTTTATCTTCACAAGAATGCTCTATCTACTGAAGTCAGGCTGAATCTATGCGATTCGTTGATATTGTCTTCCTTGTCGTATGCGGATATTGGATACTGGCCTGCTCTTACTAATATAGACAAAGGTTCTATTAAAAAAATTCAGAACTCATGCATTAAATTTTCGTACGGTTTGAAAAAATATGACCACTTCAGCGACGAATTTCGACCCTCTGGCTGGTGCAACATGGATGAGCGCTTTATGATACATCTTGCTTGCTTAACTTACAATATTAACAATTCCGGACCACTATGATGTGCATAGCTCCAATAGGAAGTGTGATCAGCTTGGGTGATAAATATACTAAGTGACATATAAATCCGAACACCCAGTTTAAATGGTTTTATTTTAATAAATTTTTTTATAAGTACTTAATGAAGCATAATAAGTAAATGATAAAAATTTCAAAATGATTGCTCTGCTTTAAAGCCCTTTGACCTTTAATAATGTGTGGATGCACCCTGATGTGCTACACATTCCCCAACGCGCCTAGGCATGCTTCTGATCAGGTGGTCAATGTCCTCCTGTGGTATCTCATTCCAGGCAACCACCAACTCCTCTCGAAGTGCTTCTAGAGTCTGAGGAGGACGTTGCAAATTGAGCAATCTCCTACCCATCATATCCCACACGTGCTCAATTGGGGATAAGTCGGGAGATCTTGGTGGCCATGGTAACAATGTGACATTATGTTGAAAGAAGTCTATTGTGACTCTTGCAACATGTGGTCGGGCATTATCTTGTTGGAAAGTTGGATCTGCCAGGGTGTCAAGATAGGGTAAAAGATGGGGTTCTAGAACTTCGTGGATATAACGCTGCGCGTTCATGTTACCTCTGATGGAGATTAAAGGTGACCTGGAACCATAAGCTATAGCACCCCAAACCATAACTCCAACAGTGTGATGAACATGTCTTTCAACAAAAAACTGTGGATTCCTCCTTTCACCACGTCGCCTTCTAACCCTGGCACGACCATCGTGCATGCCTAAACAAAATCGAGACTCGTCACTAAAGACAATACTGTTCCGTTCCTGATCCCAGAGTGACCGCTGTCTGCACCACTCAAGGCGATTACGTCGGTGTTCTCGAGTTAAAGGGAGGACCCAGTGTGGCCGGTATGAAAACAAGCCAAAACTTCTCATTCGTCGGTAAACACTTCGCATGCCAATAGGTCTTCCGTGTTCTGCAAACCATTCATTTGCAATGGACCTAGTAGTGGAGAAACGGTCCCTTAAGGCCATTAATCTTAGGCGGCGATCTTCACGGTCTGTTGATCTACGGCGGCGTCCAGTGCCCCTTGCTCTTTGCGTACGGCCTTCTCGAAGCCATGCCTGACAACACCTAACCACAGTGTCTACACTTCTTTCCACTATAACTGCAATTGCCCGAAAAGAAAGTCCAGCTTCCCGAAGTCCCACTATACGGCCCCTATCAAACTCACTAAGTTGACGAAATCGTACAGGTCTCCGTACTCTAGGCAAAATAACCGATCGTAAAGGATGTCAAGAACCAAAATCCGCCAACGTTGATTCTTTACTGCGGCTGAAATATTCATTTTTAGAGCGTTAGTGAATTAAAAAAAAAGCAGTATGAAAACCGGAATGTCCAACTGATAAGGCTGAAAATTTTTTCACTTGTTATTTACAGTAAGATAAATACATTCACCAACTTTTATTAAAATAAAACCATTTAAAGTGGGTGTTCGGATTTATATGTCACTTAGTATACTACTCATTTCGATGTAAACTTTTTTTGAGATTGACTTTCTGGTATGTGTCATATATCCTTTTTCACATTACATGTAGCCGTCATCTATATTCCTCCAAGCATTTCTCTTGAAAGATTTGAAAACTTCATCGAATTTCTTGAAAATTTGGACATACAACATACAAAAAAATTGTGATTACTGGTGACTTCAATTTTCCTCGATCAGTTAATAACAATGTTAATGATGAAAAAACCCGCATAATTAAAAACCTTTTTACTTTCCTTGACATGCATCAATTTAACAATATACCTAATATTTATAGCAGGATACTTGATTTGATTATTAGTAATGTACACTGCACTGTAAACCGCAATTGTGCTCCTTTGGTAAATGAATATTCATTCCACCCATCTTTATCAATCCGAATTTCTGAAGTAATTGAAAAGCATCACGCTAACAGAACAACTGACCATCATAAACGTTACAATTTTAAAAAAGCGGACTTCATTTCGCTTTACAGCAGCCTGCTGAATACAAGCTGGGAGGTTTTGGTAGATACAGATGACGTAAACGCAGCTGTGGATATTTTTTATAAAATATTATACAAAATATTTGATGACCATGTGCCACATAAAGCTTTTCGTCCTAAATATTCCGTGTGGTATACAAGGGAAGCCATCAAACTTGTTAAGTATAAGTCAAAACTACACAAAAGGCATAAATCAACCGGAATCTTAGCTGATTACGAACTTTTCAGTAATACCAGATTGAAATTGGAACAGAAAATTAAGGAAGATTATCAATGATATCTTCAGCATATTCGAAATCAGTTAAAGCTGAATCCTAAATCATTTTGGCCATTTATTCACCAAAAAAACAGAACCTCTACAATCCCAGCCAAGATGATTTATAATAATGAAACGTTTAGTGATTCTAAAAGTTTAGTCAATGCCTTTGTTAGTTTTTTTGAAAGCACCCTCACTTCGGCTGACAATGATGCCGAAGAGAACCCAACATTCGGTCCTGATCTCATTGATGCATTGGATGTGAGTGTCGAGTCAATAACGGAGGAAGAAATATTGAAGGCAGGAAAGAAATTAAAATTTTTTCTGATGCGTGGAAGATTGCCAAGGTATGCCCTATACACAAGTCGCAACAGTTGAATGTTATAAGCAACTACAGACCAATTTCTATTATCTGCAATCCAGCGAAACTCTTAGAAATTATTTTACATGACCGTCTTTATGAAAGTGCAAAAAATTCCATTTCAGTTCATCATTACGCCGATGATACCCAACTTTATAACTGCTTCGATCCTGATGAATATATGCTTGGCCATCATGAAA